AAGCAATTAACTCTCGTTAAAGAAATAATAAAAAACAGTGAATGTTCATATAGCACTTGTTCAATACTGTGTTAAGTCCTTTACAATCATGTGATTCTCACAACAACCCTGGGAGGTAGGTGTTATTATTTTCCCTTTACAGAACAGCATACTGAAGTGAACAGACAGAGGGTTACTTGGGTTTGGGGTCACAGCTAGTAAATTTCAAATCAAATCAAACCTAGATTTACAATCGCTAATGGTAACACTTTAATTTCCATGGCCCAGTACTCATAGCACTTCAAAAGAAAAGAGATTAATCTCCGTAAATTCATATATTTCAATTTTTAAAAAAACAAGTGGTGACATTTCCCAGCTCCATATACTCTTTTCCACTACTTCCTTAAAGAGCTGGATCAATTCTCAATGCCCGCCTCCTTTACCTTCTTTGAGACTTCTCAGATAAGAAGCTGGCCAAGTATTCAGCCAATATAGATGTATAAGTAGAAAAACAGAAAGTTTGACACACAGCTTGAATTCACACCTGTTATCATTAGGTTAGCTTAAAGTGTGATGGGCAAAGTGTTCGAAACTATTCATTGCTTTTAGAATGTCTTACTCTAAGATTCCAGATGAGTGATTTCTTTTCTCAAGGGTTTTGATGGCTAGGTGTGGCCAGTGTTCCCAAGCCTTTCAGAGCTTTCACAGAGGGAGGTCATGAAATAATTCTCAGTCTGAACAGCATAGGGAGGCTTTTAAGAGGTTTTATAATAATCACAGATCACAATAACATACATATATGTGTATTTACCATATCCAATATCTACATAGTGTCAGAGTTACTATGAGCTTGGTAGAGATTATCCTGAAAGGTGGGTGGACAGGATTCCCCAGATATTTCTCTCACCTTACTCTTTACACTAAAGCTAGTTAAAGACTGATTTCAAAAATCTTTTCCTTGGCAATTTCTGCTTCTTAACTGAAGTCAACACACTGCACTGGAGCCTTGGGCTAGATCCTGAAATCTTAAAATGCTTACACACTAACTCAGTTATTAATCTGCTATGGATGTTTCAACACATTTACATCAGTCTTTTAACAACTCAATCCACAGCTCAAAGAAATGAAAGAAGAGCTCACATTTCTAACAGTATTTCCAGTACAATGAATTATCAAATTAACAGTTAGGGACTTTTCTTTAACACATAACAAATTCGATAACTGAGGTTCCTTGGCTAGTAACAAACTTTCTGACCCCACACAGTAGGAAAATGATAATAGCAGATAAGACATATTTCATTTAACGTGAAACCAGAATAAATCCAATTACACTTGTGGGGGAGGTTAGGAAGATGAGGAGGAGGAAGATCTCTGGGGTCAGGCCTGGGTAGAATGCTCAAGGCAGCTTTGAGTAGAAGTTACGTCTCGGGAGGTCAGGGCTGTGGACAACGGCTGACTCCTGGTCAAGGTCATCATCTGGGAAGAGGAGGAGGAGGAGGAAGCCCTCTCTGTTGTCAGGCATGGGGAGAACGGTCAAGGTCGATCTCGGACACAAGTTGCCTCTTCGGAGGTCAGGGCTGTGGAGAATGGTCAAGGTTGGGTCAAGGTGTGTCTCTGGGAGGAGAGGGTGGAGAAGGGGCCCTCTCGCGGGTCAGGCCTGGGGAGAAGAGTCTGCTGGGGCCAGGTGGGAGGGCCAGGCCTTTGGGCCTTCCCTGGACGCCTGCCCTGGGCGGGGCCGGACACAGGGGCACTCACCGGCAGCCGGGGCTCAGATGGACGGACGGGGCAGCGAGGGAGGACGGACGGATGCAGGCTTCCTGCTGAAGAAGGAGTCAGGGGAGAGGGCCCGGGCCACCTCCCCCCCACAGGCGAGGACCCCCTCCTGTCCACTCACCCACTGGCCTCGACGACCACGACGAGAGTCGGCCAGCAGAGGAGCCTTCCTGCCTCGTGGTGGGGCGGGGAGGGCTGGAAATGGGGGTAGGGAGGCACGTGGGCGACCGCCTCACCCCCCCCGGGGCTCCTCCGCGGCACCCGCTTCCGCCTCAGCACTCACGGGCAGGGGGGAGTCCTCCTCCGCTCCCCTTCCCCTCCATCGTCCCCTACAGGTCGAGAGAGGAACGGCACCCACGATGAGCGAGAGGCCTCCCTCCCACCCCCCACCCCCTCAAAAGGAAGGCGGCCTGGGAGCGCAGCGGGGGGGGGGGGGGGAACGCAGCAGGGGATCCTAACAATTGCTGTCAAATGCTTAACTGCAAGGAAAACCAGGCGGGCATTTAATTATGCTGGCCAAGCCTGGCCCTGGAGCAAGCAGCCTCAAATGCCCCTGCCTGTGCCAAAGAAAGTGAGGAGAGGGTTGTGTGGTCAGATGGACACCAAGAATAATAACAATAACCACAAACGTTTTATAGCACTGGCAGTATACCAGGTCCTTTTCAATCCTTTGATCCTCACAACAGCCCTGGGAGGTTGATGCTGCTGTGACCCCCATTTTACAGATGAAGAAACTGATGCAGGCAGAGAAGTGCTTTGCCCAGCTGTATTACACAGCTGAGAAGTATGAGGCCACGTTGAACTCAGGGCTTCCTGACTCTGGGTCTGGATGGCCAGGCTCAGAGAGTAGGTTTGCTGTGAATGGCTTAATGTCAGCATAGCAGGAAGTCTTCAGTGGAGAGGTGCCCCAGGGATCTGTTCTGTCTAAGGTGTTTTTTGTTTTTGTTTTTGTTTTTTTATCAGTGACTTGGGTCAAGGCTTAGATGGCAAGGTCATCAAGTTAACAGATGATACCAAGCTGGGAAAGAGAGCTAACACTCTGGGCAGCAGAGTCAAACTGCAAATGGATGCCAACAGATGAGAGCATTGGGCTGACCCCAAAAAGGTGAAATCTAAAAAAGGAGACGAAAAATGTGCTCCTCTGTACAAGAAGTCCAATCCACAAGTACAAGATAGTAACAGAAAGAAACCTGAAGAGACAGGTACTGTGGAAAAGGTTTCCAGGTTTCTGTAGGCTGCGAGCGGAATGTGAGTCTGCAGAGTGATGCACTAATGGGGTATTGGGCTACTTGAGGAGGGCACCACTTCTGGGATGCTGAGGGAGGTGATGGTACCGCTGCACTCTGATCTCAGTTCAGAACTGGGTTCAGTTCTGGGTGCCAAGAGACGCCTCTCTTTCCAAACCTTTCTCTCTCCTAGGGTTCTACCCTGGTGCCTGCATGGTCCCTCACTGAAGATTCACCCTCAGATTCTCAAAACATCAGAGCAAGAGGGAGAGAAACTTAACATCCCAAAGAAGGGTACCGAGCCCAACTCACACCTGGGAAAACGGAGGCCCTGAGGTGGGAGGGCATTTGCCCAAGGTTGCTTAGCTGCACAGCCTCTGTGTCTCTAGGAATTCCTAGTTGAAACAAAATCTCTCCCACCCCCTTCTCCACCCAAGAGGAGTTACTTGGAGTTTATACTGACCTAATGGCATGGTTTCATTCATCAGGTTAGGAATTCGTAGTGAGAAAGTGCTTGCCACCAGGGCAGATGATTTCTGTGTAGGGATGCCAGATGGTGAGGCCTCAGATTCAGGCCTCTGGGAAAGAACAGCGAGTGCAGCTCCCTCTGCCTCAGAGTTCCTGTTTGTTGGGCTGAGGATAGATGGCCTCTAAGGTACCTAATCCTATGTATTTTTCCTGCAGAAGCCCAGTCTTATCTCCTTCCTCTTGGGCCCAGAACAGTTGTAAAGTGTGAGGGGGTACACATGGGAGGGGGACCCAGGACTGAAGCTGACAACTGGCAGTGAAAAAAGTTGCAAGGATTCCTGGGCTCTCTGGTCAAGCTATGGCCGATTCCTCCCTGTTCCTCCTAGCTCGTGTGGTCACCAGGGCACTTACTGTTGGAGGGAACCACCTTCCACTGGGGGTAGGAACAGGAGGCTGCTATTTGTGGTTCTGATATCAGCTTCCCTGCTGGGGCTTCTGACCCTGAGGTAGAAGCCTCAGAAGCAAGTGTGAGTGGCCAGAACAGAGGCCCCCTGAAATGCACTCTACTCCCAACCCCCTTCTTCCCAGAGGGAAATAATCATGCTTTCCTCTATGTCTAGTTGGCGTCAGAAGAAACTTGTCCTATCACCTTGACCTAGAAGGTTTTTTTGGACCCTTGGGCCACCATAGAGACCTTGAAAGAATGGGGATGTGTGCCAACTCAACCCCATTTTTTAACCCATCCTCCTTCTGGAGGCCCTAGTCTTATGGGGTTAGAGTGGATCAACACCAGCCCAGAGGCAAAGCTTAGTCTTAATGGATTACAAGCTGGGTGCACCCCTAGGGTCTACTGCAACTCTTAGAACTATAAACACACACATGCACACACACACACACACACACACACACACACACACACACACACACTTTTTAATTTTTGCAGCAAAATCAATATATTTTTCAATACTTGTAACAGACCTCTGAAAGAGGAGCTTTCCTAGACATTTGTCAGTACAGAAAGTAACTTTTTTTCCCCTATCATCTAAATGTGTATTGGAATCAACATAGAAAACATCAGAACAGTTTACTAATTGGAGCATAGAGACAAAGCATGTATGAGAGAAGCATGGTGACATTGCAAGGAGGGGCAGGTAACCAGCCCCGTGTACCAGATAACTCGGTCAAAGTGGTGATATATCTGGCACTAACAAACATCAATCAAGATCTTTGGTCACTGAGCATTAACACAGGTCATAAATGCTGAAGTGTGGAACCACCAGAATGCAAAGCACACCTCATGCCTTGTGGTCATCTCGGCAGGCAGGGAAAGCTCCGACTCAGCATCCCAGTCTCTGTGTCTGTTTCTGCACATACTGGTTACTGCTCTGTAAGGACAGAAGAGGCTTCCTCCATGGAAGTAGTTAACGGAAAATTTAAAGGAACAAGCATCAACCCTGAAACATTGCAAGTACAATACAAGAACAGATCATTTTGGCAAGATATGGACTGATAGACTCAATAGATTGGGTCCAAGAAATGCTAATCTGGGGGGGAGCCAAGACCACCAAGCCCTTACTCAGCTTTTTGCTGGTACTCAGCAGAAGTCACCTGGTAATCAGTGGCTACTGTAAATAGCTGAGAAGGATCCCTGGCCAGATACTCCAGGAAATCTTGCAAATGGCTCATTATCACAGTGAGGCTGCCCTCACTCAGAGGAGAGCAGGTGAGCATGCGGCCCAACTCCTGGAACAGGCGCAGCAGGTGAGCACCTCCATAGATGTGGGACATCTGCCAAGTGGGGTAACAGGCCAGAACCTCAGCATGTTGTTGTTTCTCAAACTTGTAGAGCAGCTGGGTGCCCAGCACCAGGTCAAAGTACTCTTTGATCATGGCTACCAATCCACTGACAGCGTACCTTTTGTCTCGGGTTTGGCAGTTTGGCGGGAAGGTGGCATACTCGGCCAGGATGACACTGACAGTCCTCTTGGCTGGCAGGGTGAAGAGCTTTTTCCTGAAGGTCACCAGCTCCCAATCTTGCACTAGCAGGAGCCTCAGGGCCGTGGGCAGGTGGACCTGGACTTTCTGCCTGCCCAGAGATTCTTTTTCTGGACCCACAGCAGAGCCCCTGCCTCCACGTGGTAGGTACCCTTTCCCTCGAACAACACTCAGCCTACTTCTCTTGGGGGGAGGCTGCATCATTCCACCCCCAGAGGTGCTATTTTCACTCTGATCTCTGCCTCGGGAGGAGGTGACCTGATAGTCATCCTGCTGCTCCCTTTTGGCAGCCATCTGAAGGCTGGCATCACTCTCCCGCTTCAAATGGGCAGTAGAGTAGCGGAGCACCCGATTCTCAGGGATCCATTCATAATCCCAGCCACTGACTATGGGGCAGAATAGCTGTTTGGAGGCTACTTTGAGGGCTGGGGGTTGTGAGCCCAGGCCACTGGTGCTGGCTCCCTCCCCTCCCTGGAAAATGGGCACACTGCTGCTGCTCCTCCCACTGAAAGCCCCCAGGGGTGTGGTGCTAAACTGGCTGGTGCTGGGGAAGCAGCTGTGGCTGATAATGGTGCTGGGAACTCTGGTGATATAGAAGCTAACACGTGAACTGTCACTACTACTGGAGAAGCTGATATAGAACCTAGCAAGTGAACTGTCACTACTACCGGAGAAGCTGCCTCTGGATCTCTGGAAGCTGCTGGTGGCACTGGGGCCATCGCCACTGGTACGAGGGAAGCCGACGATAGTGCTGGGGACTCTGGTGCTGGGGCCATCGCCGCTGGTGCCCAGGAAGCTGCTGCTGCTGCTGGTGGGACCTCTGGTGCTGGGGCCATCACAACTGGTGCTCTGGAAGCTGCTGCTGGTGCTGGTGGGACCTCTGGTGCTGGGGCCATCACCACTGGTGCTGGTGAAGCTGTTGCTGGTGCTGGGGAAGCCACTGCTGGTGCTGGGGCCTCTGGTGCCGGGGCCATCACCACTGGTGCTGGGGAAGCCACTACTGGTGCTGGGGCCATCACCACTGGTGCTCTGGAAGCCTCCGCTGCTGCTGGGACCATCGCCACTGGTGCTGGGGAAGCCACTGCTGGTGCTGGGGCCATCGCCACTGGTGCTGGGGCCTCTGGTGCTGGGGATATCCCCGCTGGTGCTGGGGCCATCGCTACTGGTGCTCTGGAAGCCGCTGCTGGTGCTGGGGAAGCCACTGCTGGTGCTGGGGCGTCTGGTGCTGGGGCCATCACCACTCGTGCTCTGGAAGCCTCCGCTGCTGCTGGGACCATTACCACTGGTGCTGGGGAAGCCACTGCTGGTGCTGGGGCCATCGCCACTGGTGCTGGGGCCTCTGGTGCTGGGGCCATCACCACTGGAGCTCTGGAAGCCACTGCTGATGCTGCGGCCATCGCCACTGGTGCTGGGGAAGCCACTGCTGGTGCTCAGGCCATCGCCACTGGTGCTGGGGCCATCACCACTGGAGCTCTGGAAGCCACTGCTGGTGCTGGGGCCATCACCACTGGTGCTGGGGCCTCTGGTGCTGGGGATATCCCCGCTGGTGCTGGGGCCATCACCACTGGAGCTCTGGAAGCCACTGCTGATGCTGGGGCCATCACCACTGGTGCTGGGGCCATCACCACTGGAGCTCTGGAAGCCACTGCTGATGCTGGGGCCATCGCCACTGGTGCTGGGGAAGCCACTGCTGGTGCTGAGGCCATCGCCACTGGTGCTGGGGCCATCACCACTGGAGCTCTGGAAGCCACTGCTGGTGCTGGGGCCATCACCACTGGTGCTGGGGCCTCTGGTGCTGGGGATATCCCCGCTGGTGCTGGGGCCATCGCCACTGGTGCTCTGGAAGCCGCTGCTGGTGCTGGGGAAGCCACTGCTGGTGTTGGGGCGTCTGGTGCTGGGGCCATCGCCGTTGGTGCCCAGGAAGCTGCTGCTGCTGCTGGTGGGACCTCTGGTGCTGGGGCCATCACAGCTGGTGCTGGGGAAGCCACTGCTGGTGCTGGGGCCTCTGGTGCCGGGGCCATCACCACTGGTGCTGGGGAAGCCACTGCTGGTGCTGGGGCCATCACCACTGGTGCTGGGGAAGCCACTGCTGGTGCTGGGGCCATCACCACTGGAGCTCTGGAAGCCACTGCTGGTGCTGGGGCCATCACCACTGGTGCTGGGGCCTCTGGTGCTGGGGATATCCCCGCTGGTGCTGGGGCCATCGCCACTGGTGCTCTGGAAGCCGCTGCTGGTGCTGGGGAAGCCACTGCTGGTGTTGGGGCGTCTGGTGCTGGGGCCATCGCCGTTGGTGCCCAGGAAGCTGCTGCTGCTGCTGGTGGGACCTCTGGTGCTGGGGCCATCACAGCTGGTGCTCTGGAAGCTGCTGCTGGTGCTGGTGGGACCTCTGGTGCTGGGGCCATCACCACTGGTGCTGGGGAAGCTGTTGCTGGTGCTGGGGAAGCCACTGCTGGTGCTGGGGCCATCACCACTGGTGCTCTGGAAGCCTCCGCTGCTGCTGGGGCCATCGCCACTGGTGCGGGGGCCTCTGGTGCTGGGGATATCCCCGCTGGTGCTGGGGCCATCGCCACTGGTGCTCTGGAAGCCGCTGCTGGTGCTGGGGAAGCCACTGCTGGTGCTGGAGCCATCACCACTGGTGCTGGGGAAGCCACTGCTGGTGCTGGGGCCATCACCACTGGTGCTGGGGAAGCCACTGCTGGTGCTGGGGCCATCACCACTGGTGCTGGGGAAGCCACTGCTGGTGCTGGGGCCATCACCACTGGTGCTCTGGAAGCTACTGCTGGTGCCAGGGAAGCCACTGCTGGTGCTGGGGCTATCGCCACTGGTGCTGGGGCCTCTGGTGCTGGGGCCATCACCACTGGAGCTCTGGAAGCCACTGCTGGTGCTGGGACCATCACCACTGGTGCTGGGGCCATCACCACTGGTGCTGGGAAAGCCGCTGGTGGTGCTGGGGCCCCCGCTGCTGCTGCTAGGTTGGGCCTTCTGGACACTTGGAAGGGGTTCCAGTCTCGGGAGTGGTGACGGCAGCCGGGGAGGTGCACAGGGGTGGGCAAAAATACCCTTACTGACTAAACTGACCCCGCTCCCACTTTGATAACGTACTAGGTATTTGACTTGATTGTCCTCCACGTGTACCCGGACACACTGGGCCTCGCGCATGGTGGACCCATGGAAGATCAGCACAGGCTCCCCTTCTTGGACAACGGGCAGGTCCCTTACCGGTTTATCCTTTCGCTCGGAAGAAGCCATTTGGGGCCTGGAACACCTCTACGGCCTACTTCTGCTTTCCTCGACCGCTGGCTCTCTGGTCTCTGGCTGGAACACGGGCTGTAGAGGCAATGGGAAAGGTCAAGGGCCGGCCGCCGGGGCTAGAGAGCGCGGAGCTGGCGGACAAGCTGCCGACTCTCTCGCTCTCCCCGACGGAGTGAGTGCCTGGGAAAGCGCGGGCGGGCGGGCGGGCGGAAGCGGACCCGCCCCTTACAGGGCAATGTAGCAACGTGGGAGTCCGCGTGATGCCTAACGGTCCTTCCCCGGGGAAGAGGCGCGAGGCGGGTGGGGGCTGGGGGCCAGGGTACGTAACTGCCTGAAGCTCCAATGAGGTGGCGGGAAATTCCCAGAACTTCCTGGCGGTGCCTTCCCCTCCATAGACCTCGGTTTCCCCATCCGTAAAATGGAGGGCATTCGGGCAATAACGTTCAAACTACGCCTATACTTGGGGTTAAGCGCAGTGTGAAAGAGGCCCGGCATCTTGGGACCAAATAAATTCCTCCTCAGCAAGTGTGAGCGGACGTTCCACCACTGTGCACGGGTGTGTCTTGAGTGTGTAATGGGGGGGGAGTGAGAGAGAAGGCTCTGTAATCCCAAAAAATGCGTTTCCTTTTAGCACATTATCATTCGTTCATCATTTCTGAAAAGGCACTTTTTAAATAGACATTTGCCAGTGAGTGTGCAAAAGAGTCGAGTTAGATACATTCTTTCACAACCATGAGGACACAGTGCTCTTTCTGCAGCCCCCCCGCCCAATTTAAAAAAAAAAACAGTAAGATGATAAAATTACCTTTTTGTGTGCTAGATGTATGGTCCCACTCAGAGGTTCCCACCATTTATTTTGAGAAACAGCACACACACATATTATGCTGGAATTTAGGCCCAAGATTCTATTTCAGCAGGGGTGGGGGTGTTGGTGGGCACTGATTTTTGAGAAAGGTTCAGTGTTTCTGATCTGCTTTGGGTCTGCTTCATCTTGTTTGTGCCCCAGAGTCATGGTGAAGCACCTGCATTCTGTCTGGCAAATGTGGGGAAAGGGCTCATGGGGAAGCAAATCCAGGCATCCAGCCAAATGGCCATTGCATTCTTCTTTGGATGAACCCCCTGAGTAACAGAAAGTGGGATGCCCCAGACCCAGGACAATGACCTTAAAAAATGGTGCCTACACAGTAAAAAAAAATGTGCTTTTCATTCCCTTGTTTTAATACTGGAGGAATGATTCCATTAACATTTTTCCCCTGCTCTGTAGCTGAAACTCAATTATAATTGACACCTAAAAAAGTCTGGAGATGACTTCCTGACCCCATTTGGGGTTTTCTTGGCAGAGATATTGGATTGGTTTGCCTTTTCCTTCTCCTGCTCATTTACAGGTGAGGAAATTGAGGCAAACAGGGTAAAGTGACTTGCCAGGGTTACACAACTAGTGAAGTGTCTGAGGCCAGACTTGAACTCTTGAAGGTGAGTCTTCCTGACTCCAGGCCTGGCTTACCCACTGCATCACCTAGCTGTAAAACAGCAGTACTTTGAAGTAAATATTTTTAAAATCAATAGCATAAACACGGCTATCAGCCTTACAGATTTTAAATTGTAATGTATGTGATCAGCATAGTTGAGTCATATTTACGGTGTTAAATCTGTTGAAATGAAATATACTTCAGCTTTTTGGGGAGGCTAACTATTTTAATTCTATAACATTTTTTTAAAAAATCAGAGGAGATGCTGTAGATTAGATCATCTCTTAGGGCTCTTTCCACTCTTAATCTGTGACCTCTTGGACCAAGACTATTGGTCCCTGGAGGGGGACATAATGGAAGGACTGTTGTATTTGGAGCAGAAGGGCCCAAGTTCAAATCTATGCCAGGATACCTCCTAGCTGTGTGTCCTTAAAGAAGCCCCTTTCCATCAATAGTCCTCAGTTGCATCCTCTGTAACACAAGGGGGATTCTGATAGATGGCCTCCAAGATAGTGTTCAGTGCTCCTGTTCTATGATTCTGTTCCCCCTTTGACACTGGCAGGACCTTCCATTTGTAGGGCCCCGGCAAAACTCCTTGCAGGTGTCCTGAACCAGGTAAAATAGAATTGGGAAGTGTTTAACCAAATAAATAAATACAATTCAATACAACATAGATGATGTTAATATGTGCTTTTTGAAGTTCATATGCAGCCCCCAGGGATCCATTTCTTCTTCTTCTTCCTCTTCTTCTTTTGGTTAGGCAATGGGGTTAAGTGACTTGCCCAAGGTCACACAGCTAGTAAGTGCTATGTGTCTGAGTGTGGATTTGAACTTAGGTCTTCCTGAGTCCAGGGCTGGTGCTTTATCCACTGAGCCACCTAGCTGCCCCCACAGGGATCCATTCTATTGGAGTTTGACTCCACTGGATAGAATATTAATTGTGTAACTCTGGGCAAAGCCCCTCTCCATGACTAGTTTGCGTTGGATGACCTCATGCCCCTGCAGGGCAGAAAGGGAGTGAGCCATTCGTGAAGCATGGCCCTGACACGCAGGGACAGCAGGCACGGAAGGAGAGCAGATCCCAGTGGGAAATGGGCATCCCCCAGTGTTCCCAGCTCCATGGGAGCAGGAGACTTGGGAGCATAGCAAGGTGAATATGCCAATCCACGGTCCAAAGCCACTCCCTCAGGGCTCCAGCTGAGGGAGAGTTGTAGACAAAGAGCTGACATGGCACTAAGAAGAGGCGTCCAGCCACCAGGGAAGCAAGGCCAGCCCTGGATTGCTCCCACCCATCACTGTCCTCCATGTCTCTTATCAAGTGTCAGCTGGGCCACAGAGAACGTAGCAAGGCAAGGCAATCCTCCTCGGCCCAGATTGATTCTCTATGCCATTCACCATAAATGGGAGTCTGGAGTCTGTTCCACACCCTCTCTTCTCCCCTCAAACCTCCTAGCCCAGGGGTGGGGAACCTGGGGCCTAGAGGCCACATGTGGCTCTCTAGGCCCTCAAGTGCGGCCCTTTGGCTGAGTCCAAACTTCACAGAACAAATCCCCTTAATAAAAGGATTTGTTCTGTAAAATTGGACTCAGTCAAAAGGCCATACCCAAGGATCTAGAAGGCCACATGTGGCCTGGAGCCCACAGGTTCCCCACCCCTGTCCTAGGGCATCACCTGCCCTCCTCTTCCCTCCTCTCTCAGCTGAGCATCTTGCTTCCCATGTCATTGAAAAAACTTGAGGCCATTCCCCTGACAGCTTGCCCTCCTCAGCTCACATCCCTCTGACACCATGTCTGTCCCACAATCTCCTCCTTCAGGCCCCTATCTCTGATGGAGAGGTGGTCCTTCCCATCTCCCACCCTCCTCATCTTCTCCAGTAGATTGCCCCCACTATCATTTCCTGCCTCTACCCTTACCCCCTCCCCCCATCTTCAATCTCTCTCTGTCTTCTGGTTCCTTCCCTACAAATGCAGGGACTCCCTTACCTATTTTCCTCTCTCTCTCCCAACCTCCTTTCTCTGTTAAAGTCCTTGAGAAAGCAATCTACACCCTCCACTTTCTCTCCTTTCACCCTCTTCTAAACTTTCTGTAATGTGACTTCCACTTGTTTCATTTGATTGTGATCTCTTAATTGCCAAAATTAGTCATTAGTCATTATCTTTCTTGACACCCCTCTCTCTGCCTCTCTCTCTCTCTGTCTGTCTCTCTTCTCTGTCTCTCTCTCTCTCTTCTTTCTCCTTGCCTCTTCTCTCTGTCTCTGTCTCCTCTCTCTTACCCTGCCTCTTCCTGTCTCTCTCCACTCTCTCTCCTCTCTCTCTCTCTCTCTCTCTCTCTCTCTCTCTCTCTCTCTCCCCCCTTCCTCCATAGCCACCTTGCCACTCTAGAGAAACCTCTGAAACCCCACTCTCCTGATTAGTGACTGCCTGCCCAGACCACTATTTCAGGAGAGCTGGGTCATGCTGCGTTTCATTCAGGACTCATGCCTCCGACGTCTCCAGACTTTTCGTCTTGCTTCCCAAGGGGCAATGTTTGCTTACTCCGGCCCTTGGTTTTCAGCAATGTGTCCCCCGTAGAATATAAGCCCCTGAAAGGTACAAATTGTCTTGCTTGCTTGTATTTGTATCCTGGGGCTATGGCATATAGTAAATGCTTAATAAATGCGTGTGCGCACACTCTCTGTCTCTGTCTCTATCTTTTTCTGTCTCTCTCTGTCTTTCTCTTCTCTCTGTCTCTGCCTCTCTGTGTCCCTTAAAATGTAAAATGAGACACACATTTTGAAACGGCCATTATAAGAATTAATTTTGTTTAACTATGCAGATTTGTTCTGAGGGTTTTCTTTTACTTTCTTTCTTTTTTTTTTTTTATTGCTCATTTGGATTGGGGGCGTGGGGGGCAGCAAGAGAAAAACAGTGCTTGTTTATTGGACGAATAATAAAAATTTGAATAAAAAATGTTTCCAATCACAGGATTTCAATTCCTGAAGCATAACTTAAAATCTGAGTCACAACTAAGAATAGAGCGCACCTAACCAGGGTCAATAGAAACATATTTTAACAGGTAATGGGAACTGGAGTCTGACCACACTCCTTGGTTGTTCACACAGCCTCAGACTGCCACTTAAGGCACAGCTCTACACTTAATTTATTAATCCCAAGCACTCTAGTGATCTAAGGTTATAGGGATGATTTATTTTTCATTCATAAAATTGCAATCCCTTTTCATTCATGAACTAATTAAATCAAGACCACAGTCTGATTGTTAGTCATTTTTCAATGAACTAGAGAAACCTTTACCATCAGAAATTGTTCTTATCTCAATTTCAATAAATATCATAATGTTTAAATACATACTCGATTAACAAATAGCATCATAACAAACACAAAGACATCCATCTAGTTATGTGTATCTGTCCATAACTATTTGCGATATTTCAGCTGTGACCAATGTCACAGACATAAGTGTCACCTCTGGGGACACCTCAAACCACCATAATATCTGTCCTGCATATTTAAAATCGAATGTTGGGAGAAAAATGATGGAAGGGACAGTTTAAAAAAGACAATTGTGAAAATGGTTTAATGTGAAATCCTTCTCCTTTTGGATTCATGGAGAACGAGTGTTTACCTGTGATCCAAGAGGCTCTATGAAGAACCCG